CAGAAGCCCTCCGGCTTGCCAAGGCGTGTTCTGCGTCTTCGGGTCGGGCTTCGAGCATTTCTCGGGAGGCTGGCGGACTCCCAGCCCTTCTGAGAAGGCCCGCCCCCTCTCAGTTGGCCCCCCGGGCGCGCCGCCGCTTCAGGGGCTGGTCGGCTCAGGCTGGGACCCAGACTTTTGTTCCGTCGCGGCGCGGCAGAGGCAGTCCGCACGCGCGCTCAGCATGAAGTCGGGACGATTTGTTGCGTATTTTCGGGCATCTTTCGAGTATTGTTGTCAGTATGTTTTATTTGTCGTGCAAGATAGATCGCACTGTAAGGGGACAGGCCCGACCTAACCCTTTGGGCCGTCGGAAAAAAAACACTTCAGGGCGAGCAGCCGGCCACGATCAAGAGCGTTCGACGGTCCGCTCGGGTGTCTTCATGGCCCAGGTGGTAGCTTTGGTTGACGGTTTACCGCCGGCTCCCAGTTGTGAGAGATTTGACGATTCGTTTCAAGAAAATGTATTTTTTCACCTGTAGTAGGTTATGCCGCGTCTGCCAATCAATGTTTCGTAGAGCTTCCCAGATAGCAGAGCGGCGAAGCCTAAGAGTGCCCCCTGGTCCTCCTGGCGCCTGGCCCTCCTGGCGGCGCCCTCGGCGCCGCCCCTGACGCGCCTGGGAGAAGGGTTGGCGCAGATCCAAGAAGACCGCGAGGATCGCCGGACGTGTGTAGACATGCCGTTGGGGCAGATGATCCCGCCTAGGGCAGATGATCCCGAACCTGGCATTGGCGGTCGTATTCGGTCGACTCGACGTAAGAGTGACCTTTCGCCAGAGTGTCCTTTTGTACGGGCCCAATGGGGTCCCCGGATCGCTGAACTCGAAGCGGTAGCAGCTTCTTGCGCGCGCAGTCTTGGCCACCCCGCGTCCCCCGTGAAGCCGCGCACCAACAGTCTCTCTTGCCTAGGGCCACTCTAGCCGATTCAGGCCTCCTTAGTGACCGAGAAATTGCCACCAAGACCAGCATCTAGGATCATTCCCCCCGGTGGCCGTGGGCCGCATCCCCCTGTTTTGGTTTTAGAGCTCCCTTCTTACAATAGCGGACGACGATCGGTATGACATGCACTTTTTCGCCGTCGGGGACGCCTGCCACACGGCGGTTGGACAGATTTTAACTCGACATGCCACCGCCTGGGTATAAGCCTCCCAGACTCCCTGAGGTCGGCACCCCGGACGGCGAAGATTTGTGTCGTATGGCGTCCTTCGCACGCCGCACTCCCAGGCCTCGAAGACGTTCCCCTGCGCCGTCGATGGGCGACGGGGGCCCTGGCCGCTTCGAGGAGCTGCTGCGCGAGCTGCGGGCGGAGCACGAGCGGCTGCTGCGGCGCCAGGGCGCCCAGGCGCCCCTTGGGGGCCCGCCGCGCTTGCCGGGCGGCGGTGGCGGGGGCGAGTGGTGCGCGCCCGCCTGCAAGGATCCGCCGGACCCCCCTGCAAGAACGAAAGGCGGCAAACCGAATCATTTCCCGGAGATCCGCGCGGGTGTCCTGGGTCTCTTCTGCTCCTGGTTCCAGCGCCGATCCAACAGGTCCGCGCGGACCTCCGAGAAATCATGTTCGTTTTGCGTTTTGCCCCTGCACACCACCAGTCAAATAAACAAGCACATGTGTTGTACGACTACCGGCTGTCATGACTGCACGCGTGTATATTTGTATCTATCTATCCATATATGTATCTATTTATAGACTGATACGGATGATGAGCATCTGCATAAACATAAATGAACATATTTCTGTGGTTGTTTGTGTGAAAGAGCGCGCTACGGGAAACGGGGAGGACCAAAGCGGGGGCCCAGATTCAAGCTATCCCCCCACCCCCTCCTTTCCTGCAAGGTTCCGACCCCGCCGGCAGGTTGGAATGTTCGTGCAACGTCAGATCTGAGGGTGTGAAGATTTTTGTGTGACTGCCCGTTGTCTGTTTGAAATAAAACCTGTGCCGTTTCTGCTTGTCTGTTGATGTTGCCATGTGCTGAGTAAAATTCACGTGGAATGCGCCGCTGACGGCTATGAGCCCGCAGAGCGGACGTCACGCGGAGCCACTGGGGGAACACCCGCACGCCGATCTCGCAGGCCGTGGGTGCTCGGGGTACGGCCTCGACGAAGTCGGTAACAGGTCGTTGTGGTGTCTCTTGGGCCCGTGCGTGCGCGCCCTGCCGAGGGATCAGGGCGGGCCTGGGACCTGGCCAGGGCCTTCTGGGGTACATATCTGCCCATCGCTCGGACGTGTGCATTTTTTCTTCGGCGAGGACCATCGAGGAGCATCCTTGATCATTTCGCGAGAAAACCACGCACGAAACCGAAAAAAGCACAGGAAATGGACGTCCGAGCGATGGCCAGATATGGGGCACGAAGTTCGTTAGAGGTGTGCCCAACGGAGACTCCAAGGAGCCGTCCCGGGGGTCAGCGGAACGCCCAACATGCATGGAGTGCGGAGAAGCGTGCCGATCTGAGGTTCCATGTTTGGTAGAAGGTCAGCTCACTTTTGGCTTCACCTCTCCCAGGAGCCTCGAGGCTCAAACCACCAGTGTCCAGCTGCCGCCACGCCAAACCAGGAGCAGGCGGCAAACCCTGCCACCACGCCGGTGCAGCAGCGTAGCAGGCAGGAGGTTGAGTGTATGAATGGCGCAATTCCGATGAGTAGCCTGCTTCGGGGCGGGTCGTGATCACGACCTTGTCTTCGTCGGCGCGGTAGGGAGGAGGAGGAGGAGGAGGAGGAGGAGGAGGAGGACGACGACGAGGGGAGGAGGAGAACGAGGAGGAGGAGGAGAGGGATAACATGATGATGAGGCGGATAATGCTTCTTGGGGCCTTCTTGGGGCCTCCTGGGAGCATCCTGGGAGCGTCGTGAAAGCTTCTTGGGGACTTGGGGGCCTCAGATGGCCTGTAGGGGGCCTCTTGTGGCCCTGGCTGGGTGCCCTCTTTGGGCGAGCGATCGGATCTCCGCACAGGCGAGAATCTCAACATCTTTGCAATACCGACGGCAAATCAATGATGTTGGCCTCTTCGGGCACTGCAGGAGGGCCTGTTGGAGCCGTCTTGGAGGCCTTCTGGATTTGTCTTGTGACTGCCCTGGGGGCCTCTTGAGCCGCCTCGGGCCATCTTGGTGTCATTTTGGCTGTCTTGAAACGGTATTGGAGGCCATGAGGCCTTCAAGAAAGCATCAGGACAAATCAAGAGGCCCCCAAGACGGTCCAGGAGGTCTCCAAGAGACCTTCCAGGAGAGCCCGAGGAGGCCAAAACCATTGGCGTTCCTGTAGTTTTTTGGGGGGGGTGGTCGAGGGGTTTGGCCCCGTGGGCAATATTTGGGTCTTCTTGGCCCGACTTGGGGCCCTCTTGGCGGCCTCTTGGGCTGCCTTGGAGTTTTTGTTGGAGGACTCCTGGAGGTCTCTTGGGCCGTCTTGGGCGGTCAGCAACCCGACCAGGTGAGAAGCTAAAGCTCTTTCAAGAATGTATGGAACATCAATGGTTTGGGCCCCCTCGGGCCCTCCAGGAAAGCCCATTGTAGTTAGTTCTCTTAGGCCGTCTTGGGGTCCCCTTGGGCCGTCTTGAGGCCCTCTTGGGCCGTCGTGAGGCTGTCCTGACAGGCTCTTGAGCTATCGTGGGCCATCTTGAGCAGCTTCTTTGTCGTCTTGGCTGTATTCTTAGCCCTCTTGGAGGCTATCTTCGCCTTCTGGAGGCTTGACAGACCGCCAGGACACACTTCCAGGACAGGGCACTGTTTTTCGGCCCGCGTCCGGCGAGGGGGGAGGGCTTCCAGCATTTTTTTTTGCAACACCTCCCAGACAGCAGACGAGCATTCTAACACGCCCACTCCGTGCAGGCACGCTAGCGGACGTTCACGTGCCCCAAGAGCTTGAGATCGCAGCTCGTCTACGGCGACCCCCCCGTCGGCGCTCCGTGTTGACCGCCGCTGGCGACCCAGAATCGGTCGGCGTTGAACGATCGGATTTTTCGCAGCCGGCCGATTGCACCAGGTGGAACGATCCCCACTTTCACCACCTACCAAACCACCCCAACCCAACCCGAAGGCTCAGATTTACCCTGGATTTCTAGTGGGGGGGGGGTCGGGAAACATCAAAAAATCACGCGTGGAACCCTTACCCCCCCCCAACCCGAAATTCGGGTCTTCGGGTTGGGTTGGGGTGGTCTGGTAGGTAGTCACACTTTGTCGGGGAACAACGCTGGGGCTCGGCATCGCTCGGACGTGTGCATTTGTTCTTTGGCGAGGACCATCGAGGAGCATCCTTGATCATGTGGCAACAAAGCCACGCACGAAACCTAAAAGAATACAGGGAATGGACGTCCGAGCGATGCCCAGGGGGTCGCCTGCTGTACTCGGACCCCCTTTGGGAGGCCTCTACCCTGGCAGCCCCCCACGGGCCTCTCCCTGGCGCGCGGAGCGCTCCAGTCAGGAGCGAAAGAAACACACCGACACAATTAATCGTCGATTCCCCCGAAAATATGGGAGACTATGGGAAGTGGGGGGGAAGTCGAACACCCCCGAAAATATGGGAAACGATGGGGAACCCTTTCATTTGTGTGTATTTGTTTGTGTGTCCCTGGGCCCCTTGAGCCAGGGAGGGGGGCCCCATCGCCGACCAGAGGGGCTCCGCACGGGCCCCCACAGGTTTTGGATGCGGATGTCACTTGCTCGTCGGCCCGCGCGCAGAGGGGCGGAGGGGGAGGAGGAGGAGGAGGAGGAGGAGGAGGAGGAGGAGGAGGTGGAGGAGGAGGAGGAGGAGGAGGAGGACCGTAGCGATTTTGGCTCAAGACTTAAACGTTGTGAAGGGCTATAGACGCCCGAGAATCAGCGATTAGGTCAGGGCCCGTCCGTAGCACGGCCCAGAGATTTGGAGCAGAGCGCTCCTAGCCATCACGACCGCCCTGGCCAAGTTCTTTGCCAGGCTCACCGCATTCCTCTTTCTTTCTGCTCCCGCTGCGGAGCCCCAGTCAGCAGGTTCCGTTGATGGCGCCATGGACGTGCGCATGGCAATGCAGATGCGGGCAGCAGAACTGGAATACCTCGGTGAACTGCGTCAAGTGCAACGGTCATTGGAAGTCTTCCAAGAAAAAGAACGGCACCAACAACCACAAGGGCCGCCAGAGATCCAAGAGCCAGAAGAGCCAGATATCGACATCGGAGTCACGCCCATGGGAAGACGAGACGAAGCCCAGTGCTGCCCCATACGTACGAATGGCGACTCCAACAGAAGCACAGGCTCATCCAGACTATCGTCCTTTGAGTTCGCGTGCCACGGAGTCGGAGAAGAAAGGGTACTACTGAGAGATTCGCTCCAGGCTGAACCTGCTCCAGCAGAGGTACAACTTAGCCTGGGCCATGAGAGAGCCAGTGCAGGAGCTGGCCTCATCTATTTCCATATTGAGACGAATGTTGATATCGGAGAGGAGTTTACATCAGCAGAGCGCCTGGACAGAGACGACCATTGCCAGGATGATGCTGCGCGTGGAAGCACCCAACAAAGAAGTCGCATCGCTCAAGGACCACCTCCAGGCGAAGATCAATGTCAGAGACAACCTCCAGGACCAGCTGGACGCGCTGAAGCGCACCAAGATGGAGATACACCAGCTCATGGAGGCGGAGAAGCAGCAGAAGGAGATGGAGAGCAGCACGGACATGGACGAGGACAAGCCGTGCCAGGGCGTAGTGGTCTTCCCCGAGCGCCCGATAGAGGAGTCCCCTCCAGGCGCGGCCTCCACACCAGCATCGACACCGGTTGCGTCCACTGCAGGCACGGCACCGTCCAGCGCCAGCATTCAGCAGGCAGTCCAGCTGCAGGTCGAAGCGCAGCTGAAGCCCATGGCGGACCAGATGATGCAGATGCAGCAGATGATGGAGGCCATGATGATGCGAGACGCGATACGGTCATCAGCGACAGGGGCGACGGCTACTGGACATCACCCAGCGCCATCGACGCCACAGCCTCCTACTCCACCGACCGCGGCTCCCAGATCACCACCATCATTGACGCCGACACAGCCTTGTACCCCGATCCCGCTGATGGAGACCACGGCTCAGGACACGTCCGCGGGATGGATCACGGTGAAGGAGAGGGCCGCGGCCTTCGAGAGCGGCTCGGAGGGCGGACAGTTCTCCTTAGGGCCACGGCAGCGCAGCAGTCAAAGGACTTCAGCATCGAGGAGTCCAAGCATCCGCACCCAGAGAACGAGAGCGCCAGGATCCTCCAGGCGGCCTGCCAACGACAAGGGCAAGTCGAGGACGGCCATGGCAGCTTTCCGCAAGCCTCAGAGACGATCGGACATCGAGACGGTCGCCAAGACAGCAGAGGATCACAGAGTGCCGAGCAGCGATGCCGCCCAGATGGATCCCTGCGCGGAGAGCGAGTACTGAGCCTACACGGCCATGAGAGGGTGTCGGATGGGGAGAGCCCGACACCCAGCAGCATGCATGTAGACTCTAGCGAGCAAACACCGCCACCCCAGCGCTGCCGCGCCGAATTCGATAGGCCCAGGTCCAAGGTGGCTTTCGCCACGACTGTGCCTTTTCACTTCTACGATCCCTCCCCCGACTCCTCCTCTCCTCCCGATGTTGGGTTGGGCAGTTCGGAGGTGCTGACCCCAGGCACTCTGGGGCGTTCGGGGGCTGGAGTCCACACTGGCCCGCAGGTCCTGGACCTCGACAGTCGGATTCCGATCGAGGTCGCGATCGTGGGCGATGATCCTACCGACTCGATCAGATGTAAATTGGGACAGATAGGACTGCTCACACGCCTTCAACAGGAAGGGTGCCAGATAGACCTTGATTTAGATGTCAACAGAGTGGGCCTGCACGCCCACGCGCAGCTTGGCCTGGACATGTGCCCGACTAGCGAGCACGTCGCCGGCCAGATTTCAATCTTCGTCGACGGGTCCTTCGACGAACAGGACCCCGCCACTGCGGCCTGGGCGATGGCCGTGGTGGCCAAGGACAGAGCAGGAGCCTTTTCCTTTCTGGGGGCTAGGACAGGAAAGGTTCTCTCATCCGTCGGCGTTTCCTTAGATACCACTCGTTTCAGCAGCACGACCCCTGAGATGGGGGGAATCCTTTGGGCTTTGCTTTGGATCGGGCTTCTCGGACAGCACGAGGCTGAGGGTTTTGTCATCGAGTCTGACTCCGTTTCTGCGATTCAGTTTGCCGAAGGATCTGCTCAGTCCTCTGCCCACCCCGAGTTCGGCGCCATGTTGCGCCACTTGGTCGTTGACCTGCGAGCGAGGTATGACCTCACGTTCCGCCATGTCCCGTCCCACAAGGCCCATCCCTGGAACGAGTTAGTCGATGGTCTCTCTAAACGTAGGCGAACGGACTCCGAAGTTCGTGACCCCGACTGGGCGAAGCTCTTGACCCCTGCGGTGGGAGATCCCTGGTCGTGGGTTACCGAGCTGGAAGCCGATCGCAGCGCGTGTCCTGAGATCACCGAGCATGATGGACAAATCTGTTTCGACACTCCCGTGCGCACATATGCGACGGGATGCCCACATCACTGTTTGCCTCTTGGGTTTGAAGGCGGGCCTGACCCCCCCGAGGAAATGGCTGGTGATCTCACTCTCAATGTCGCGACATTCAATGCGATGTCCATGCTCGGGATGCTGAGGGACAAGGACAGCCGACGGTTACTGCATCCTCGCCTCTGGAGGTGACGGGAAAAACTTTGGGGTTGAGGCCTGCTTTTCGTTGACCCTCCCGTATTTGACTCACCGAGGCCACCCGAGGTGCTTCCAGAAAAGCCACTTTCTTGTCACGCATAAGGATATCAGCAGGGTTGTAGTGCAAGTCCGCGCGCCAGGGCTGCATTTCAATTTCATGGTCCTGCGCGCTCCCTATCAGGACGCGCAGAGCAGGACCATCGACACTGGCGCTCTTCAGAGGTGGTGGGAGGAGACTACCGCGATTGCCCAACGGATGTCAGTCGACGTCGTGTCGGTCGACGCTAATGCGAGGGTTGGTAGCATTTCGTCCACTGCTGTGGGGAATGGAGGATGGATGGAGGAAGAGAATGTCTCGGGCACCTGCTTTCACCAGTTCATGTGCGAACTTGGGCTTGTCGCCCCCTCCACTTTCTCTGACCCCGACTGGAGCAGGGACACTGAGCCCAGCGGTTTCACCTTTGTGAAGAATGGCGCCTATCACAGGATTGACTATGTCCTCGTCAAACCTCACTTTGTGCCTGCCATCGTTTTCGAGCAAGTGTGGAGTGATCTCGATGATCTGATGGAGGTTAGTGATCATTTCCCTACTGTGCTGGGAATGGCGTGGGCAATCCACGACAGAACAGATCGCAGCAGCAGAATCGAGGTTAGCAGGCCGAGGTATAACCGCAAGCTTACCACATATCAGCACAGAGTTGCGATTTTCAAGTCGCTTTTGTGTACCATCCCCCTGATGCCATGGTCGGCAGACATCAACAAACATTACAGCCAGGTCCAGGAGCAGATACTTTGGGCGGCTGCCGCCGCTTTCCCAGTTCAGGGGGCCTACCCGAGGAAGCCCTACACTGACCAGCTCATTCTTTACTTCGTCAAATGGAGACGAAAGAACAAGGCCGTCCTTCGTGCTGCCCCTGACAAAAGAGCCCAAGCTATGTACAATTGGGCCAACGCTCTTGTTCTGCCATGTCAAGCTCCTGTTTTTGAGCGTTGTGAAGAGGCTCGAAGCCTCCTTGTCTCTTTCGAGGCTTGTTTGTGGGAGCTCGGGCTCGCGGCTTGGGCCTTCTTGGAGCTCTTGGACTTCGACTCTTGGGACGGGGCTCTTAGGGGCTTCCTCTCCGCCGCGGCTGGACTGCTCAAAAAGAAACTGGACATCGATAAGACTGACACCCTTGAGAGGATGGTCAGCGAGATGAGCGAGGCCATCGAGGATGGAAATGCCAAGAAAGAATGGCAGATTGCTAGGTACCTTCAGGCTTTCGGAGGACGTAGGATGAAGCTCCAAAGCGGCGCCCTCCCCATCCGCAATGGCCCCGACGGGGACCCCCTTCAGACGAAAGCCGAGGTGGCCGATTCGGTTCAAGCTTATTTTGCTGGCGTTGAAGGTGGGACCCTGTGCACCGAAAGAGGGCTTTGCGATAAGTACAGCGAAGATAATCGTGATCGCCCCCCCCTCCTCGATTGCTTCGCCGAAAATCGGATGACCCGTGACCAACTTCGTTTCTCGTTCTCGCAGGCCACCTCAGGCAAGGCTGGAGGACCCGATGACGTTGTTGGTGACCTGTTGCGCTGCGCACCTACCGAGACTGCTCGCCTGGCGCACCCGGTCATCTTAAAGGCGGGCATGCACACCCAGGAGCCTCTTGCCTTCAAGGGTGGGTGGGCTCATGATCTGTATAAGAACAATGGCAGCGCGGCGATGCACGAGGGCTATCGCCAAATCTTTATTATGAATAATGTTGCCAAGCACCACCATAAATGTTTGAGGGATCAGTTTGAAACGCTTGTTGCGGGTCTCATTATCGAGACTCAGATGGGTGGGGCCCAGGGCAAAGGGACCGACATGGCGACCCACATGGTTCGCACTTTCTCGGCTGTCTCCCTGTGCTAAGGGCCTCTCTACGGTGCTTGCTTTCATCGACTTGAAATCGGCGTTCTATAGAGTTACCCGACCCATTGTCATGCCTTTCCTCCAGGACCCCCAGGACATAGCTGACGCTATCGATGCCGCCGATATCCCCGAGGCCCTGGTCCCGATTTTGGAGCACACCATCGCGCAACCCTCTGTTTTGGAGGGCCTCGACAATGTTCACCCGTTAAGGATGCTGGCGGGCCTTCATACCAGCACCTGGTTCAAAACCAAGGGGTCCCGAGGAGTTATACGTACCACCACGGGCAGCCGTCTTGGCAGCTCGCCTGCTGACCTAGTTTTCAACCTTTTCTTTGCGCCTATCGTGCGCGAAATTCGTGAGGAACTCAGCAGTGCCAACTACCTGCTTGAGCTAGACGGCCAGCAGGACCCTCTCTTTTCTCTGCCCCAGGACGCTGAGACTGACTGTCTCGCGGACAGCACCTTTGTTGACGACCTCTGCGTCATGGCAGTGGTTCAAAGTGCTGCCGACCTCCCCCAGGCGATGTCTGACGTGGTTGTCACCATCAGCAACGCCACGGTCAAGAGAGGCATGACTATCAATTTCAAAAAAGGCAAATCAGCACTCCTCGTTCACCCACGAGGAGAGGGAGCTCGTACGGTTAGGGCCAATCTCTTCCCTGTTGCTGACCCTGTCTATGTTACCCACTACGACGACGAAGTTTCCCTCCAGAGATCCTACACATATCTTGGCACCATGTTGGCCCAGAGTGGCTGCATCGCCCCCGAGTTGGCCCACCGCAGGACCCAGCAAAAGACGGGACTCGGGCCTCTTCGTAGGACGGTTTTAAAGGCCAAAAGGTTACCCATCAAGACTCGTGCCAAGTATGTTGACGCTCTCTGTACTTCGAGGTTGCTTTACAACGCCCACGTCTGGGGTGAACTGTCTAGGGATCAACAGCAAGCTATGGTCGCCGCCCACCTTGCCCCTTTCAGGACCATCCTGGGGATGCGGCTTGGACGTCCTGACCAGCCGCATGTTGCCAACGAGCAGGTCTTGCTCGATGTCAACAGGCTTGCTGTTACCGACATCCTGCGCCTCATGCGGCTTCGGTACCTGGCCAGGCTGATGACTTCGGCCCCGCCACAGCTGCGGCAGCTCCTCGATATGGAAGGCCGCTGTAGGAAGTCATGGGGTGCGCTCATACGAGAGGATCTCGCGTGGCTTCAGAAGTTCTATGATTGTAAAGAAGATCGCACTCTCCCTGCTCGTGAACTTTTGTTGCAGGCGTCCACCGACCCAGCCCGATGGAAAAGAATCTGCAGGACCGCCGCACGCAATTTTAAAACATGGCAAGCAGACCAACACCGGCTACAGTTGTGGAGAAAGGATTTGGGAAAGGATTTGGGCAACATATGTAGAGCTCACGCCATTCCGCCGCCCGATTCTGCTCCGCTCCTTGAGCCTGTTACGAAATACGTTTGCGACACTTGCCAGTATGGGTGTGTGTGCCCACGAGGGAGCTATGCGCGCTCATATTACTAAGAAGCACGATGACCCTGCGGGCAGACTCGCCGAGACGGGACAGTGCCTGGCTTGTGGAGTTGACTTTGTCACGCGTCCCCGCCTCCTGAAGCACTTGCGACATGCTCGCACTGGCTGCCTCGAGCTCTGGAGTCGTACCGTGGCCCCCCACCCCGACGAGAGATACAAGGAGTTGTGGGAAGATGATCGCGCCTTGGTGGCCTCCTTGAAGGCCAAGGGCATGCGCGCCACCGAGGCCGACGTTCCCGCCCGCCCTGAGGACCCTGGCGACGCCCTCCATTCTGCCCTGGATGGTCTTGGTCCTCCTCTGCTCCGTCCTACCTACACCTCTGTCGTTTGCTTCCCTGAGGCCGAGGGGTGTACCCCCCCGAGCCCCCGTAGGATACAGCCCAGTGAAACGAGATACATTATCCATCTCTGTTGTGGTCAGAGACGGAGAGAAGATTTCCAGCACTGTGTAGAGCTCTTTCAGACTCTAGAGGCTCCCACAGGGCCCCTCGCTGTTTTATCGATCGACATTGTCAATGACGATGCCGACGGTGACCTCAGGTCACGCAGTGCTTGCATTAAGCTCGCTACCTTTGTTTTCCAAGGCCTCGCCATAGGAGTGTTCACCAGCCCCCCCCAGCGAGACCTGGAGGCCAGTGCGACTACTAGAGGACCCTCGAGACCAGGGATTTCGACAGCCTCGGTCCTTACAGTATGAATGGGGGCGACCTCTAGCCACTCCCAGAGAGTGGGCCCAGACATCTACAGAAAATGATATGTATCATGCTGCGCTTTATTTCATGTACGTATGTCTTGCGTCGGGCGCCTGTGGCATACTTGCGCACCCTGCCTGCCCGTCGAACCAGGTTGCTCCAGCGAGTTGGTTTCTCAAGGAAACCAGCCGCATGCGGACCTTAGCCTCGATGGGTTTGAACACCTGATACGATCTGGATCGACCAGTGTATGTTCGGTTCGCAAACGACGAAACCAACGATGCCCCTGACTGTGAATCTCCCCTCCGTGCGCAGGGAAGTCCACATGCTGACGAACAGAGGGCGCTGCAGCCACGGAGGCCACACGACTTTAGAGGGAAGTGATGGCAACGGTGGCTGGAAGCCCCAGACCGCCGAGGAGCATCCTCCCGAACTGTGCATGTTTCTGGCCCGACATTTTGTCACTTTCGCTTGTCAGGAGCTCAGAGAGAGGGGTGAGGTCCATCCGCGGGGCTGTGTCGTCCTGACCCGCCACCCCCCTCTCGACCCGACATTGGCGCGCTTCTTTTGTCCGCTTGACCCCTATTGCGAGGCCCAGCAGGTCGGTGCCTAAGGTCAAGCTTCAGTGGCAAGTGCGCCTTTCCCGGATTCACGTGCGGGCAGCGGATCATCGTCCCCAAATGCCGTCAAACAGAACAGAACAGGAGGAGGAGGAGGAGGAGGAGGAGGAGGGGGTGGAGGAGGAGGGGGGGAGGTTTCTCAGACGCAGGGCTGGACCTGAACGGTGTTTGGGCGATTTCGTGGGCCGTTTTCGTTTCGACCTTCGTTTTGCGATAACAGGGTGGACTGAAGACAGCACGAGGGAAAACGAAGACAAAACGAAGACGGAAAACACCGTTTCAGGTTCAGCCCTGCTCAGAAGCACCCCTGTCTTTTGGACGTGAGGCACGCGCCTTTGAGAAGCAGACCAAGGGAAGCCTTCCCCCCCTTTCACCGAGCGCGCTCCACCACCTCGCAGAGTGCCTACTCTCATCAAAACTGCGACAAACGTTCATGTATGCCTCGATGTAACTGATCGTAGACCCATCGCGGCGGATCCAGGCCCCTTGCGAGTAGCTGCTTTTGCGAGCGGTGGAGCGCGCCTGTCTACCCTTGTGCGCGCCGCCGAGCCTGTTCGCCTGGTAGCCTCGGACCCCGGCTGGTGGGGAAAAGGAGAAGCGGCGCCAGTACCATCATGGGGCCACGTCCAGCGAGGATGCCCACGATGCCTCCCCAGGCCGGGGCCATGGGGGTGTTTCGAGCGCGAGGGGGGAGCACGTCACCAGGGGGGACCCCTCCCTGGCTCCTCCCGCTGCTGGACCCTGGTGGTGCTGGTGTCGGCTGTCCATGTCGTGTCCCTGAGCTGGGAGGCCTCGGGTTCGGCAGCCCCCGCAGGACCCCGTGGTCGTGCAGCTGCCGGGCGCGCTGGAGGCCTCGCTCCGCGACGCCGGGGCGGCCCACGGGCGCCCCAGCGCTGCCGGCCGCACGGTGTGCCCCGCGCCCGAGGCGGCCGAGCAGCGGAGGTCGGAGGCCACCGAGGCCTCGAGGGAGGAAGAGCGCGAGCAGTGGCGAAGCGTCCTGGCCTGCCCTGTATCGGCACGGGCGAAGTGGGCACGGAAGGAGGGGGTACTCCAGGTTTCGTAATAAAAGGGAGGGGGTCTGGACCCTCCAAGACAAGCCATTTCAGACCTCCCCCGTGGGAAAACCCTCCAAAACATCGTGCCCAGACCCCCCCAGGCCCTCCAAGATAGCCTGGAAGAGACCCCCCCCCGAAATGAGACCCCCCTCCCTTTATTACGAAATCTGGGGTACGATGCGCCACAGCGGTTCCTGTTCGTTGTGAACCAGGCTCGCTGTCGGTGTCGCCGCGGCCTGTGCACATTTGGGACAGAAGGCCGCCTGCCCGACAGCGGCCGTTGTTGGTTTGGGACAACATTTGTTGTTGGGCATTGTACCCATTTTTGTCCGTACCCATTTCGGGCGTCCAAATTGTAGGCGCACCAGAGCATGTTCTAAGAGCATGTGGTCTGCACGGGATGTTTTTAGACCATTTCTGGCGGAGACTGACATGTCTTGACACCGGGTCAATGTTCTAAACACATTTGTTTCGGTTCTTAGAAATTTCCTGGTTCCGCGAACATTTCATGGCAGGCCTAATGGAATGCTGGGACGGCCGTTTGTTGCTCAAAGAACAGAGACCGAGTTCTCCGACGATGCAATCTTGTGCAATGCGGGCCTTCTTCGCTATTCGACCCCCGGGGGCCAGCTTCGGGCTCCGAGACCATCCGAAACAAACCTGCGACCGGAATTTTTCACCAGGGAAATGGTCGGGAGATTTGTGGCAGCGGGTTCAACAAGCACACCGACGTCGTCGTCGTCGTCGTCGTCGTCGGAGGAGGAGGAGGAGGAGAAGGTACGGATACCGCTGCCCCTCCCCTCGGTTTCGCCTCGTTGGACCTCCTGAGAGGCCGTCGTCGCCACGGCTGGATTCGCTTCGACGTCCTGGTCAACACGCACCCCAGGAGAGGTCTGGAGACTGGCGGTATCGGGATCTTCTGGTCTCCCCCCGCCAGGGTTGTGAGCGTACGCTCTTGGCGGTCCGCGCGAGCTTCGTGCCTCGGTGCTGAGCTGTGGCCCCCCCTCCCTGTCGGCCATGCTTGCGAGTTTACCAGCCTGGAACACAATTATCCCTATCCCTATGCTGGGCACCTCCTCATCACGATGCCAATCTCAGGGATCCCCTTATCTTTTGAGGGCGAATCCCTGAGATTGTCATCGCCTCTTGGCGTGCCAATCTTAGGGATTCGGGAGACGTTCGAGGCTGGTAAGCGAGGGGCCCTCCGCCGGGGCCCCACGGGGTCCCCCCGTGCACCGGCCTGCGCGCCGGGATTCGGCCCATCCGCGCGGCGCCCGAGAGACGCGCGGGGGGGCGTCGCCGGGGCCGCATGCCCGGAGGCCCCGCCGGGGGGCTTCCAGCGCCGCTCCAGGAGATCCTCGCGGGCCTCCGACAGCTGATGTGCATGCCAGCATCTGTCAGGAGGAAAAGGAGCACACAGACACAATTCATCCTCGATTCCCCAGAAAATATAGGAAAATGTGGGAAGTGGGGGGAAGACAAAAACCCAGAAAATAGATCCTCGCGGACCTCCGACACTTAGTGGGCCCTGGAAACGACAGGGCCGTTTTTCTACCGGTTCCGTTTTGCCGTTTGTTTGCCGGTTCCGGCGCAGTTTTTGTTACTGGTTCCGTCGTCGTTTCTTGACCGGTTCCGGCTCCGGTTTCAATCTTGGAGCCGATTTTTTGCCGTTTCCGGTCGCCGTTCTTTTGCCGTTTCCATTTTCAAGGGATATTTTTTGGAAACGGTGAAGAAATGGCCCTGCCGTTTCCGGGGCCCACAATGCTCCGACAGCTGATGTTCATGCCAGCATTTGGTCCCCCAAGATCGTCGGAGATCTAGACCTTGTGTACAGTCAACCATGATAGTGAGGATGGAGGCAACTTGGCCAGGGTACCCTCGCATCCTTGCCAACTTTCGCTGGCCAGCCCTTCGGGGTGCCCTTGCATCCTTCGGAATTCGGCCGAGCTCCGCGCGGAAAACCTCAACATGGCATCCTTACCGCGCATCCTTATCTTCCTGGTTGACTCCATGCTTCTCTCCCCGGAGGCCTCCCTGGAGTCGGTGCAGGGCCCCGCCGCGGGCCCTGCGGGTGGCCGCGGCCTGGCGGCGGCTGGGAAGGCGCACGTGAAGTCGAAGCGTTCCACCTTCTTCGGCGAGCAGATTGAGCAGAGGTCCGTGGCAGCTTGGCTGATGGTGGTGATGATGACGATGATCATAGGGATGGGGTTGAAGACGGTGATGGCGATGCCAATGACGATGATGATGATGATGTTGATGAGGAGGATGATAATGATGATGGTGATGATGGTGCTGAATGTGATGAGGACGATGCTGATAATGAGGACGATTATGCTGATGCTGATAATGATGATGCTGATGGTGATACTGATGATAATGATGATGATGATGATGATGATGATGATGATGATGATGATGATGATGATGATGATGATAACGATGAGGCTGATGATGGCGAGGATTATGCCGATGCTGATGCTGGTGCTGTTGATGATGGTGATGCTGAGGATGCTGCTGATGATGATGGCGACGATGATTATGATTGTGATGCTGGTGAGGATGATGGTGATAATGGCTGTGATGATGCGGACGATGATGGTTCTGATGATGATGGTGATGATGGTGATGGTGGTGATGCTAATGTTGATGCTGATGGTGATGGTGATGGTAATGATGATGGTGTGGATGATGATGATGATGATGATCATGATGAGGATTATGAGGATGATGATGGTAATGTTGACGATGCTCTTGAGGGTGATGATGATGGTGATGGTTGTGATGATGGTGAAGATGGTGGTGGTTGTGATCATGGTCACGATGCTGAATGTGCTGATGATAATGCTGTTGGTGAGTTGCTGATTATGAAAATGATAATTGGCGGCGGTGATGGTGTTGATAATGATGATGATGATGATGATGATGCTGATGCTGATGCTGATGCTGATGATGATGCTGTTGACAGTGAGTAGTATTGTGATGATGACGAGGCTGATGATGACGGTGATCTTGAATAGGACTTTATGATTACGACATTGAGTATGAGGATGATGAAGATCAGTATGATGATGAGGATGCTGTTGTTGACGGTGATGATAGCGATGCTGTTGCGATGATGGCGCCTGGTGATTGCGTGGGATGGTGATGACGGAGACGACGATGGTAATGAGTGATGATGATGAGGATATCAGGAAAATGAGGGCGATGATGATGATGGCGATGATGACGATGACAGTCTCCACTGCTGATGGACTGTGGCTGGTGATGGAGCTGATGAAGATGATGCTGCTGCTGATGATGATGATGATGCTGAACATGAGGATTATGGACGGTGAGGAGAGGGAGGATACAGTTTTTTCTAATCCTCTGGCCCTGTAACGATCGCTAGCCAGACCCCCCCCCTGGGTAATGCTCCAGCGGAGTGGGGAGCGGCTATGCGGGGTGGTCCAGCAGAGTGCCCTTTGGACACCTCTTCTTCTGAGAAACCCCAGCGGGCCGAATAAGTCGGGTTCGAGTCCAGCGCGCGGCTTCTCCAGAGTACCGCATGCACGTCGCGAGAGTTGCGGCGCGCAGGGCGCTGCAGCGCGTTGGTGACCCACCGGCTCGTTCTGAAGTGGACGTGGTTGCGCCCTCGCCGCGGGCGTTCGAGAATTTCTCCAATAGTGTGAAACAGATCGGGCGGAGATTGTTGTTTTGCATTTCTTTCAAAGGACGAAAAGGTACCCATACCTCTCTCATTCGCTCGTTTCCCCTTTCTCGGCTTGTTGGGACGCCCTCGTTGCCACTGCTGGAATCACTTCGAATTCCTGGTCAGAACGCACCCCAGGAGAGGTCTTGGGAGAAGCGTTATCGGTACCTTTTGGTTTCCCAATCTTCTGTCGCGCAACGGTGGGTACCTGGGCCATCCCCTCCCCCCAGCTTAACAGTAACGATCGTACTTGGACCCCCCCCATGCTGGTGTTCGCGCGCATACGACGGCGATTGCAGAGGTTCGAGGGTCGAGGATTCTCGGCGGCGTTCCAGGCTCGTGATGCCTTCAGCGGCTGCGCCTCGCCGAGATCGTTCCGGGGTTGCCCGAAGCGTCCCGACCGTCCGCTGGAGACTCGAGTTATGACCCGAAGGCCAGGGTCCAACGGCAGGGAGGGGATAGGCTCAGGGTGATCGCATCGAGCCCCACTCGCCCACTGATTGTCGACAGGAGCCTGATAGCCCACCCGCCCAGGAATGTGCGTTTTCGCTGTCGGGAGCCTTTCGCCGATCTAGCGGTGATGTATCGCCGATTCCAGGCCGATGCCTCCCCCCGTGAGCGAGTCCTCCACCCCCGTGGCGATCCCTCTCAGGAGAGGCGGGAACGAGGGAGGGGGGTCGGTCCTGGTCCCGGTCGGTTTTGGGGCCTGTGTTCTTGCCCGCCGGGGGCTGATGACTAGGCGGGGGGGGTGATTATCATGACAGGGGCCATGATGTCTCTTCAGATTCTTCAGGCTTACGCCACATCCGCCGACCCCTTATGAAGAATCGCGCAGTGGTCTGGTCGCCTCTTTGGGTGGTCTGAGGCCCCTGGGCCATTCTTGGGGCATTCTTGGGTTGTCTTGGGGCCCCTTAGGCCGTCCTGTGGCAGTATTGGGCTGTCTTGGGGCTCTCTTGGGCTGTCATCGGCCTCTCTTGGGCTGTCATGGGGCGCTCTGGGCGTTCTTTTCGGCCGTCTTGGCCGTCGCCATCTGTTGCCGAGGACTGTGGTATGCCCTTGGTGACCTCAGAACTGCTTTGCGGTGTCTTTTGGAACCGTCAGGGGCGGCCGTGGGGTGACCTTCGATCGTTTCAGGCCATGGTCAGAGACCCGCCGAAACGCCCTGCGGAAGCAAGTGACGATCACGGCGGGAAGCGACGCAAGTTGCGAGGAATCTGACCGCGAGTCGCGCGCGTTGTCTTCGGGGCTCTCTTGGGCCGTCCTCTGCCCCTCTTGAGACCCGTCTTGGCGCCCTCTTGGGCTGTCGCGGGGCCCTCGTGGAGGCTTCTTGGACCGTCTTGGTGCGGTCTTGGGGGGCTCTGGGGCCGCCCAGGAGCGGGGAACACCCCAAAAGGCGCATGTGCGAGAAATATATACGTTTTACGAAGGGAACGGGCGTTTTTGTGCGTCTAGAGGCCCTCTTGTGGCGCATCGTGGATGCCTCTTGGGGCGTCTTGAGGGCCTCTGTAGCCGTCTGGAGGTCGTCGTCAGTGTTGTTGATCGCTCTTGGACCGTCGGGGACCATGTGGAGCTCTCTTCGAGGCCACTCGGGGCGCTCCTGGAGCGCTGTCGGGGCCGTTTTCGGAGCCCTTTTGGGCCGTCTTGGACGTCTGTTGGCCCGTCTTGGGGCCCTCTAGGGCTATATGGGGAACCCTCTTGGAGGCGTCTTGGGCCGTCTGGGAGCGGGTTTGGGGGGCTCTGGGACCGTCCAGGAGCGGGGGGCACCCCGAAAGGCGCACGTGTGAGAAAAAATATACGTTTTACAAAGGGAACGGGCGGTTTTTTGCGTCTAGAGGCCCTCTGTGGGCGCATTGTGGATGCCTCTTGGGCCGTCTTGGGGGCCTCTTCAGCCGTTTGGAGGCCGTCGTCGATGTTTGTGATCGCCCTTGGACGGTCGAGGACCATGTGGAGCTCTCTTCGAGGCCACTCGGACCGCTCCTGGAGCGCTCTCGGAGCCGTTTTCGGAGCCCTTCTGGGCCGTCTTGGACGTGTGTTTGCGCGTCTTGGGGCCCTCGAGGGCTATGTACGGACCCTCTTGGAGGCGTCTTGGACCGTCTGGGAGCGGGTTTGGGGGGCTCTGGGGCCGTGCAGGAGCGGGGGTCATCCTCAAAGGCGCACGTGTGAAACAATATACGTTTTACGAAGGAAACGAACGATTTTTTGCGTCTAGAGGGCCTCTTGGGGGGAATCTTGGATGCCTGTGGGGGCGTCTGGGGAGGCCTCGTGAGCCGTCGGGAGGTCGTCGTCGATGTTTCTGATCGCTCTTGGACCGTCTGGGACCATGTGGAGCTTCGGGGAGGCAGCTCGGAGCGCTCCTGGAACGCTCTTGGGGCCGTTTTCGGAGCCCTTTGGGCCGTCTTGGGCGCCTGTTGGCCCATCTTGGGCCCTCTAGGGGTCTGTGGGGGACCCTCTGCGAGGCTTCTGGGGCCGTCTGGGAACGGGTTTGGGAGCCTCTTGGGCCGTCGGGGAGCATCGGAAAGATCCAAACTGAATTTTTTAAATGTACATTTCACAATGGGAATGGCCCAATTTTGGCGTCTAGGGACCCTTGTGGAACGCATCTCGGAGGCCCTCGGGGGAGCTCGTGGGGACCTCTTCTGCCGTCGAGGACGCCTCGTGGCCCGTCTTCGGGCAACTTGGACGTCTTGGAGCGCTCGTGGGGCGTCCCAAATCCATTTCAAAGCCACCAGACGCGTCCCTACACGAATTTTACGTGTTTTTTTCAACGTTTTTCGTCACCCCCAAAAGCGCACGTGTGAAACAATATACGTTTTACGAAGGAAACGAACGATTTTTTGCGTCTAGAGGGCCTCTTGGGGGGAATCTTGGATGCCTGTGGGGGCGTCTGGGGAGGCCTCGTGAGCCGTCGGGAGGTCGTCGTCGATGTTTCTGATCGCTCTTGGACTGTCTGGGACCATGTGGAGCTTCGGGGAAGCAACTCGGAACGCTCCTGGAACGCTCTTGGGGCCGTTTTCGGAGCCCTCTTGGGCCGTCTTGGACGCCTGTTGGCCCATCTTGGGCCCTCTAGGGGTCTGTGGGGGACCCTCTGCGAGGCTTCTGGGGCCGTCTGGGAGCGGGTTTGGGAGCCTCTTGGGCCGTCGGGGAGCATCGGAAAGATCCACAACTGAATTTTTTAAATGTGCATTTCACAATGGGAATGGCCCAACTTTGGCGTCTAGGGACCCTTGTGGAACGCATCATGACAGGGGCCATGATGTCTCTTCAGATTTCACGGCGCCTCTTCTTATTGAATCGCTTCGCTCATTCCGCCGGCCCGTGATATGGCATCGCTGGTTTTTGTCTGTGTGTTCGTTGCCCATGTTGCGCTCTTGGGGGCGGGTGTCGTTCGGACGCGTTGCGTGGGGAGTTTTGATGGTGAAGCAGTTCCCTGGGGGTCGTCTCTCGATGGGGCGAAATAGAGTCGTCGTCAAGATGCTTCTTTGGGGGGCCTCTTGGGGTCTGTTGAGAGGCCGTTCGGGGGCGCCTGGGAGACATGTTTGAAGCCTTCTGGGGCTTCTTTTGGGCCTCCTGGGAGTCTCCTGGGGCCTCTTGGCGACATCTTGGGGCCTCTTGGAGGCCTCTTGGGGCCTCTTTGGGACCTCCTGGGCGCCTTCTGGGACGGAGGGCTCCATTTTTGAGTTCTCGGTATCCCTCCTGAGTCCCTCTTGGGCCCGTCTTGGGGCCTCTTGGTCCGTCTTGGGCGGCACTTGGGCCGTCTTGAGGGCTCTCTTGGGTCGTTTCGGCGCCGTCTTGGGAGCTTCGTGGGCCGTCTTGGAGCGGTCTTGGGGGCCTCTTGGGCCGTCTTGGAGCGTCCGGAAGCCGAAAAAGCCAGAACACAAAAAACATCGAAAAAACAAATGAAAATCAACGATTTTGGCCTCTTGGGGCTCTCTTCGGAGGCCTCTTGGAAGGCTCTTGGGGCGTCTTGGAGGCCTCTTGGGCTGTCTTGGGGGCCTTTTGGGCCGTCTTGGGGTCATCTTCGGCGTCTTCGAGCGCTCTTTGGGCGTCTCGGGGGCCTCTTGGGCAGTCTTGGGGGCCTCTTGGGGCACTCTGAGCGCGCTCTGGGGAGCCTGAGAGGCCGCACCCAGAAGGAAAACCATCTCTGAGTAGACTTGGTCGGGCGGCGGTCGGGCGGCGGTCGGGCGGCGACCGGGCGGCGACCGGGCGTTGGTCGGGGTACTTTTCGCCGGGGGACCCCCAGGGGCCGCCCCGCGCGCGCGAACTAGAAATACTGTTAATACTGTTAACCAGTTACCGGAGATCTTAGCACGCCCTGGCCCGTGGGGCCGGCGAATTTCAATGCGTCCCTGGCCCCCCCCCGTCCGCGCACATGCCTCGGGCCATGATTTACACCCCCTCCTCTTGGGCGCCACCCTCCTTGACGCCCCTGTATATTTTGTTTTGTTGCGCGCGCACCCGGCGCACTTTTTGCGGCGCACCGCAGCCCGTCAGCAGTGCCGTTGGCGGGGGGCCTATCGCCGATCTAGCGGCGATGTGTCGCCGATTCCAGCTCGAGAGCCGGTACCCCTTAGAGTTAACCCTCAAGAGGCATGGACTCGCGAGGTTGGTCACGAGTTCCACTTTCGAGTTGACCATGGCTGCCGCGATTCTTCTCAACACGCTCTGCATCGCCGCCGAGGCTCAGTACAATGGGATGGAGTCTGGCTACGACTCTGGAGTGGAGCCGCGCATGACGGAGCCCGCCGACAAGGTTTGGCCAGGCGCCGACCGTGTCTTCATGGGGATCGAGTGGTTTTATGGGCTCTTGTTTACAGCCGAGCTCGTGCTCAAATTAGTGGCCGTACCGAAGAAGACCCTGAAGGAGGCATGGACAGTGATCGACGTCCTCGTTGTTGTCTTCTTTTGGATCGAGTCGCTTTCGAATGACCTCCCGTTCCCGCCAACATTGATCCGCTTGTTAAGGCTAGTGCGAGTGCTTCGATTGGTGAAGACAATCAGAGGTTTTGCCTCGCTGTACTTGATGTTGCAGTCGATCAAGGGCAGTGTTTCGGCTGTCGGGTGGTCCATGTGCGTCTTGCTATTGGGCGAGATGATGTTAGCTGTGGTACTCAACCTACTCATGAGCAGGTATTGGGAGGACGAGAGCTTTGACCTCGAAGACAGGCAGCTGCTGTTTTCGTATCCAGCTGCCTGCGGCGCGTCCTTTTGCGCCGTGTCGTCGGTGATCTTCTCGTCTTCGTCGTCTTTCCCCCCCTGTCGTCCGTCCTTCCCTGGGTTTCTGTGGGGCAGTCTTGAGGGTCCGGGGGTCCATTGGGCCACCACTTCGAGCCGTCCCAGGGCCACTTTTGGATCGTCTTCGAGCTATTTTGGGCCATCCTGGGGCTCTTTGGGACTTTTTTTGCGGTCCCTTGGGCACGTCGTGGTGAGGCCGTGTGACGGCCGTCATGGGCCGTAGAGAGGACATCTGACATGATTTTAGGTCCCACTGGAGGCCATCTTGGTGCTCCCTTAAGGCCGTCCAGGCCGTCCAGGGGCTCTCTTGGGCTGTCCTGAGGTTGTCTTGAAGGTTTATTGCACCATTTTGGGGGGCCGTCTTGGGGCAATCTTGTAGGCCTGTAGGGCCAGATCTCAGAATCATCTTAGGGAAAATCTATGGTCAACGGTCCTACTGGGGGTCCTATGGTCGACATCTTTGGCCGTCTCTGGGCCTCTTTGGCCATCTTCGGACCATCGTTGGCCGTCTTCGGGCCTTCGTGGGCCGTCTTGGAGGCATCCTAGGCCATCTTGGCGATCCTCGGACCCTCGTGGGCCGTCGTCGAGGCATCTGCGGGACCTCTCTGGCCGTCTCTGGGCCTCTGGACCTCCTGGGCCACCTTCGGGGCCTCCCTGGCCGTCTTCGGGCCTTCGTGGGCCGCCGTGGAGGCATCGCAGGCCCTCCTGGCGGTGCGTGGTGGCCTGCCTCGGCCGTCTCGGGAGCTCGGCAGCCCGGGCCCGCCGGTCTTTGCCCGTGGGGGATGGCGTCCCCGGGAGGTGTGGAGCCACGGCGCTGTGTCGTGCGACCGTGGCCTCGGGAGGGGGGGGTCGATGCACGCAGAGCTCTTCCAGATCCCCAGGAGCTTGGGGCCACGGAGTTTTGTCGTGCGATCGTGGCCTCTGGAGGGGGCGCGCTGCATTCAGAACTCTGCCACCAGGGGGGTGGGGGCTTCCCAGAAGGCGACAGAAACCCTACCCGACAGCACTTGGCGTCCTACCACGCCTCAGCGTGCCAGCGGGCACGGTGGCGGATTTCGGCACTTTCACCAAGTCGTTGCTTACAATGATAGAGATGCTGCTGGGCAACTGGTACACTATCACTCGGGTGCTCACGGGGTTTAACGAGGTTCTCATGCTGTTCGGCATCTGCCACCAGCTAGTCTTCGGCTTCGCGGTGATCGAAGTCATTTCGGGCGTATTCTTGAACGAGACGTTCAAAGTCGCAGCTCTCGACGATAGCATCATGTTGAACGAGGTCAGGAGAGCTGCGAAAGCAGAGAAGATCAAGCTCACGGAGTTCTTCCTAAGGGCGGATGAGGACGGGAGCGGGCTCGTGGACCAGCACGAGCTCCAGAAGGTATTGGACAACAAGAAGGTGGAAGAATGGCTGAGCGCGATGGGCTTGGACCTGTCCGACATCAGTAAGGTATTCTCCATACTCGACAAGGACGGAGACGGACAGCTATCATGCGATGAGCTGTTGCAAGGTTGTGCCATGTTGAAGAAGCCCCCGAGGGCGATTGACCTCGCAGCCGTGCAAAAGACCCTTGAGGACGTGAGTGCACGCATCGCTGCCTTGACGTGACAGCAGCGTCGGCGGTTTAAACCTCACCCTTCACCCTCGTGTTTTTTCCTGCTCCACCTCATCCCCTATCATCCACGATCTCCTCTCGTTTCATTCCCCCATGCATTCTCCCACCCGCCTTTCCTTCCGTTCGTCCCTCCCTTTGTCTGCCGTCTTTTCTTATCTCTCCCACCTTTCTGTTCCCTCATGTCAACGCTCCATGCCGCCTCCGCCCCCTATCAACCTCCTTCTCCAACTGCTCACCCCGTGCCCACATGCCACCTCCACCGCCTCCTCCTCTGATGTCTGCGAATGTACACAGCCTCACGTTTCCCGATCGATTGTTGCGTGTATGAAGCCTCCTTTGTTTGATTTCCAAGTCCGCTGTGACGCGCGCCGGCGGATAACGAAGCATCAGCGCATTTGGACGGGATGGGCGGTCAGGGGCAGGATGTCAGATGTGGCGCGAGCGCACCTTGCCTGCATCAGACACGCTCTGCCTTTCTCCCACCGTCTCTACCCCCCCTCGTTCCCTGTCTTCCTCTGTCCTCTGTTCTCTTCCACCTACCCTCTTCCCTCCTTTCCGTCCTGCCGTCGCTTCCTCCTCCCCATCGTGTCCCTTAACTCTCACCTCCCCAGCGCCCCCCCCAATCTCTCTCCCTCCTCCCCTGACAAGGTTTGCGCGTCTTGGGTAGAGTCACTCTGGCCCAGCGACAGAACGAGTGTAGGATGCTAGCGCGTCCTTGGCGTACTCATGCCGTCTCAATGATGGTGAGTAAGTCTAGGATCCAATGCAGTAGCGCCACAGCGATTTTCCTTCCATCCCCGCAGTGGGACAGGCTCGCTTGGCGTCGTGGCTCCATCTGCCTGTTTGTGCGTCCTTAATCCTCATCCTTCCATCCAAATCTCCCCCGCGCTGCCTCGCTTTACAGTCGAAACCGAGAGTAAGGATGGGCAACCATCCCAAGGGTGTCATGGCATCATTGCCTCTTCGGCCCATACTTGTGCGCTTTCGATTGCCAGCCCTGCTCGAAGAGCTTCGGCATGGGCGTCCAAGGCCCTTGCATCCTTATCGCGCATCCTTGCCATCAGTTGTTGCTGCATCCCTTGTCACTGCTCCGTCATCGGCCACCCCCGCACTATATCCTCCATCTGCCGGCCTCTTCTCCCCCCCACATTCCCGCCTTCCGTCGCGCCCTCCATGCCACACTGTTTCACGGGTTCTAGGCAGGACATGTGTTGGCTGCTCGGCAGCCCAGCGCATCGATACTTATTTGAGGTATGGGTCGCGCTGGGTACCAAGTGCACATGACCTATGCAAAAGCAGCACCTGCTCCGTCGTCGCCTGTCGTCGCCATCAGTAAGGTTCTTGTTCCTGCACGTCCGCAACCTCTCCTCCATCCCCTCTTCTTCGTCTCCCGCTCTTCTCTAGCGATGCTACTTGTCCTTCTCCTCCTCCTCGTGTTGCGGGGCCACGTCGTGTTCGGGGCTTCGGCTCCGAGTGCGGCGTGGTTGCGCTGCAGCATGACTGGCCGTTCGCTTCAGCACAGCGGCCCAGAGCGAGTTACCGCCGTAGCCGTTGGGGATCAGCCGTTCGAGCGTCCCCGCTTCGTGAACCGTACACCCGCGCCTGCCGCCCCCCACAGATCGGCGACGAGCCCGGAGGGGAAGGCAGAGGGTGAGCGGGCCTTCTCAGAAGGCTCGGAGGGCATACAGTGAGCGGCTTGAGTAAGGAACACTTACGGTAGGTTTGCGTCGTGTCGACCAGCGGCGACCCCAGCGCGGACGTTCAAGGTTGAACGCCGCCGGCGACCCAGAATCGATCGTGAACGATCGGACGTTGCGGCAGCGGCAGATCATTCAAGGTTGAACGATCCCTGCGGTGTCAAAAACCAACGCTGGGGTCGGCACGACACGAACCTGCCGTACTTTTCAAAAGGGGCTCGGTCGTTCCTCAGGCTTGCATGCGTTATTTACAGTTCCTTATGCGTTATTTGTTGTTTATCGTTCCTTATGCGTTATTCCTTGGGTTAAAAAAGGGGCTTCGTTCCTTATTTATCGTTCCTTAGGTCAGGCCGATGTCTGTACGGCCTTCTGTGAAAGCTTTCTCGGCTCCCTCCGAAAGCACAGAGGGCTTCTGAGAGGGCCGGGGGGCTTCTGATGCGCCCCGCCGCCTTTCTCAGAAGGCTTGCCGCCGCTCGCCTCCCCCCCCCCCCTCCTGGGCTCGCCGCCGGACTCCATACAGCATGCACTGCGCTGTGCTCTGCTCCTTGGCGGCCGTCGTGAGCGTCCAGGTCTCCGTGTCGGCCCTCCACGTCTTGGAGGGCGGCCCCGAAGACCCGCGCGCCGAGGCCGCGGAGGCGTTCGACGCGACGCGGCGGCGCGTGGAGGCGTTCTCGTTCCGGGACTTCGTCGCGAAGTTCGGGCGCTCCTACGCGGAGGGCACCGACCAGTGGGCCGAGAGGGAGGCGGCCTTCGCCAAGAGGAAGGAGGAGGCGCTCGGGCCGGGCGAAGGTCACCACGGCTCGGCGGCGCGGCTCCCCTCTTCAGAGGAGGGGCCGCTGGGGTGAAAGCCCATGCCAAGAGGCACCCTGCTTGCTTCCAGGGTGCCCCTGGCTTTTCGGGGTCTCGAGTGTCTTGCTGCGGACAGCGCGACGTTCCCACACCACAAGGTCCTGGGCGTCCTGGGGTCTCAGGGCTGGGTTTCTTGTGGAAGGTCTCTTGTGGTCGAGCTCCTGCTGTAAGTTTCGAGGCTCGAGGTTTGAGGGCGCCTGCGTCGGCTCTCGGCGGCTCTCAGCAGGAGGAGGAGGAGGAGGAGGAGGAGGAGGAGGAGGAGGAGGAGGAGCAGGAGGAGCAGGAGCAGACAGCGGATGTCGGCGCACGGAAGTCCGCCGAAGAGGAGGAGGAGGAGGAGGAGGAGGAGGAGGAGGAGGAGGAGGAGGAGAAGGAAGCCAACGACGGGGGACCGATCCTCACCTCATTCAGAGGAGGCGGAGTCGAAACAATGGCAGGTGGCCTTCGGGGGGCCCCCTCGTCGCCGCGGCTGGGCGCAGCTCGGGTGCGCTTGGAGCCGCGGAGGGGTCCTGGGGCCGATCTTGAGGTGCCGTTGTCTCGACTCGCCCTGGTCCGAGAAGGGGGGGGGGCAGCAGGTCGGACGGGGCTAGGGCGGGAAGATATCCGTTCCAGAGCGTCCCGGACCGCTCTCGGAGCGTTCGGGAACGCTCTGAGATGGCCGCGGCGCCCGATACAGTCGGGGCCCTGAAGAAGGAACCCTTTTGGTTGGGGAGGGGCTCCGCGTTCCTTAAGTGTTTCACAGCTTGTCTCAGGTTTTCCTAATGTTTTCGATGGGGAATCGAAATTTAACTTATGGAGAAAAGGGGCCTCGTTCCTTATTTAGGGTTCCTGAGGTCAACGCCCCGACTGTACATCCTCCAGAGCCGCTGGATGTATCACGAAGTCTGCCGCGCGCGGCCAGCTGTGGCCACGCCGTCGGGCTTTTTGTTGTTCCCCCTCGCTGCGTGGGCGCCTCCCCGCAGCGGGAGGCGCGGGGAGAGTCAGATGCGTGAGTTTTGATCCCCAACCTCCCGATTTTGGTGGGCCTGGCAGCGGGGGATAGTGGAACGAAGCTAGGACGAGGATAAATCCACTCCAGAGCGTTCAGGCTCGCTCGGAGCAGGCCGCGGCGCCCTATACATTCTCCAGAGCCGCCGGATCTCAGGGGCTCTCGATTCATCCTCACCCGATTTTGTCATCGTCCTGGCTGTGTCTTAAAAAGGGAAGAGGTAGGTGTGCGAAATCTTTCGCATGTAGCCAGTTGTGGTTTCGGTCCCGCCTCCGGTCCTTTCTCTTCCGATCTGCTGGCCCCTTCATGCGTTCGGAGACGCTCAGGTAATCAGCTGCGTCAGCCAAGTCACAAACTCCCCTTGCCCCCCCCCCCCCTGTTTGGAAGGATCAAAGAAGAGTGATGACGCCACGGTGGGAAGCCCGTCGGCGTGATGCTCCTCGTTCAGCACGGTGCGTCTTCAGCAGCGCACGCTCATGTGCTCCCCTCGGCGGCGTGTCACTTGCTGCCCGGCAGGTTGGAGGTGCCAGACTGAGAGGCGCAGCTCCCGACCCGCCATTTCTACAGTCGGGGCGCTGAAGAAGGAACCCTTTTCGCTGGGGAGGGGCTCGGTGTTCCTTGATTGTTTTGCAGTTTGCCTCGGGTTTTCCTGAGGTTTCCCATGGGAAATCGAAGTTCAACTTCTGGGAAGCACGGGCCTCGTTCCTTATTTAGGGTTCCTTAGGTCAACGCCCCGACTGTACGACGAACCCTTGCACCAGAGCTCGCGCGAGAGGCAACTGCGGAGCGCGGATCGGCACGCGGAACAGTTTCTGCCAAGCACGCTGGTCTGAGCTCATGGCTTCAGCTGCTTCTGACCGTTTTTCTCACAGAGACTCGGGCCGGACGAAAGGGGGGGATTGGGAAAGGGGGGGTTACGAAATCTGCTGCATGCAGCTGGTTTCGGCCTCACCGAGGGGCCCATTCCTCGATACATAGCCGCCTCCCGGCGCCCGGAGGCGCCGGGAAAATCAGCTATGTGAGTTGATTCTCAAGCCCCCCCTTTGCTATCCCCCCCTTTCGCCCGGCCCGAGAGACGGTCAACGAAGTGTTGCAGAAGATGATTCAACGCGCCATACGAAAACCGACTTGTGCGTCAGGGGGTATGTGTCCAGTTCGACTCTGTCGGACAGCGCCCTGTTGTGCACGCGCTTTCTTTCCCCGAATCCGTGGCTCTCGAGGTTGCCCGTCATGGGCGGGAAATCGGAACCTGTGCCCCGCACACCACACCGCGGCCGCCAGGCCCAGAGATTTTGTCCGTGTTTCGTGCCCCGCCCCGCGTCTCCGACGGAGGACGATTGCGTACCGGCGCCGCCAGGCCAAATGTTCGGGCCGGACGAAAGGGGGGGAGTGGGAAAGGGAGGGTTACGAAATCTGCTGCATGCAGCTGGTTTCGGCCTCACCGAGGCGCCCATTCCTCGATACATAGCCGCCTCCGGCGCCGAGAGGCGCCGGGAAAATCAGCTACGTGTGCTGATTCTCACCCCCCCCCCCTTTGCTATCCCCCCCTTTCGCCCGACCCGAAATGTGTGCCCGTGGTCCATGGGGACCCCGCCTCGCGTTCTCGAGTCAGGATCGCGCGAAGCCCGAAATGGGATGCTGGTTTCGCTCCCCCCCGGGAGGTGCTGGCCTTCCTGCGCGGCCCGCCGCAGTCGTTCACCATGGGCATCACGCAGTTTGCCGACTACTCCGCGGCCGAGTACCAGGCCGTCCTGGGCTACAGGTCGGGGCAACGCTAGAAGCGGGGATAGGCTTCAGCTTCGAGGCGTTCGCGCGCTTGCGTCAGTTCTCGGCGGCCTTTCCAGCCTGAGGATGCCCTACAGCGGCTGCGCATCGCCGTCGGCGTTCCCGGCGTGCTGGGCTCGTGCCCAGCGGTCGCCCGAGAGTGGGGTCCTGCCAGGAGGGGAAAAGCAACACACAGACACAAGTAATCGCCGATTCCCATGACAATACAGAAAAGTCTGGAAGTGGGGGAGAACACGGAAATCCAGCGAAGACGAGAACATGGGGGACCCTGGGATTTGTGCCCAATTTTTGCGTATGTCCATGGGCCCCTTCAGTTATGGCCGGAAAGCCTGGGGACCACGCGAGATGGGGGGGGGCCTCAGGGAGGGAATGCATCGACCCCCCGTCGCCCATTCATCGCCGATGGGGGCTCGAGCGTGCGGGTTCGCAACGGGGGGCTCATCGCCGATCTATCGGCGATTCATCGCCGATTCAAGGTCGAAGTCCCCCTCCCGGAACCATCAGGAGGGAAACGCAGACACAAGCACAACCAGACGAAGCATTTGGTGCGGACATTTGGGAGCAGATGAGAAGTGGAGAGGAGGAGGAACATCCAGCACGTACAATCACATATGGGGAGTCCTGGAAGTTGTGCGGATTTGTTGGTGTCTCCCCGTGCCCCCTCAACAGGGGGCGTCCCCGCAGCAGCGCCGGCGCGGGGGGGTCCTCCGCGGCCTTGGCCCGCGAGCGCGGGGCCTTCGAGCACCCGCAGAATTACTCCGTGGTCCGGGAGAACCGGGAGATGAGCAGGGTCGTGCGCAACCAGGGTGGCTGCGGCTCTTGGGGAGACACTTGTCCAACTTCGCAGACCGGATCTCGTTCGGAGAAGACTGGGATAAGCCCAGATTGTCCTGGAGAGGTTCGTTCCAGAGTTCGACGGGAAATTCGTGTGGACTTGTTGGCCAGGAGTGCGGACTACAACAAATCCACGTGAAAGTAACTTCGTGTTTCGCTCGCCATTTCGGGGTTTTGCATTGACAGAAGTCCAAGCAAAAAACCGCTGCAGCACGTCTGCAAGGTCGGTACAGTGATCTGTTAAAGGGAGCCGCATAGTGGTGGGGCCCCGAAGTCCAAGACATGGGCCGGAATCACTGAACCAGGTCTGCCGTAGCAGGTGTTTTTCTGGGTGACAGCAGTTCCGGCTAGTGGAATCGGGCGGGGGGGGCGTCCCCCGGTACACATTTTTTGAACCAGGTCCCTTTAAACCCAGCCCTGCCAACGCCCGAACCTTGGATTCTGCTGCGCAGTTGTGTTCTGGAGTTCGGGAGGAAAACGTGCCCATACATGTACCTTTCCCTCGTTCCACCTTTGTGGGCCTCCTAGGAGGCTCTCGTCGCCACCGCTGGAATCGCTTCGGAATCCTGATCAGAGCGCACCCTGGGAGAGGTCCGGGGGGTAGTGGTATCAGTGCTTCTTGGTTTGCCCAAGAGTGTGGGGACGGGCGCGGATTGGGTCGCGGGTGGGTCGCGGGCGAGTCGAGAGGTAATTAGATCGTGGGATGGTTGCGGGGTGGGTTGCGGGAGGGTCGCGGGAGAGTCGCGGGTGGGTCGCGGGCCGGGTCGCGGGCCAGGTCGCGGGCGGGACGACGACAACAAACAACAACAACAACAATAACATCAATAACAACAACAACAACAACAACCACAACAACAACAACAACAACAACAACACCAACAACAACAACAAACAAACAAACAAACAAACAAACAACAACACGAACAACAACAGTTGCAGCAACAGCAACAATAACAACAACAGCATCACCATTAACAACAGCAACATCAACACCAATAACAGCAACGACAACAACAACAACACTCATGTTAATGTTGTTCGCTCTTATCTGCTCGCGCGTACCTCATCACGTATATCCCAAACCCCCGATTCCCGCTCTCTTCGTCTTCGATCGTACCCCCTCTGGGGGGCACATTTTCCTGAACTGCCACGTGTATTGGGCGCAGCCGCCCCTAAAAGAGCAAGAGGAGTGAGAAAGGAGATAGAGAGAGAGAGAGCGACATAATGAGAGGGAGAGAAAGAGTGAGAGAGAGAGAGAAAAGAAACAAAAGGGCGAGGAGGAAAGGAGTTTTGGAAGGGAGGGAGGCAAGGGACAAGAGGGAGGGAGCAGAACTGCGGATGAGAGAGATTAGAAGGTGGGGGGGCTTAAGAGAGGATCGGGAAAACAAGCGGCAGACCCAGACGACTGGGTCGGGCAATGGTCCCCAACGGGCGGGTCGGGCGGGCGGGGCCTGCAGACCCGCGGGCGGACCCTGACGGGCGGGTCGGGCGTGCGGGACGTGAAAGGACCCGGCGCGCTTCCAAGCGAGCCGCCGGACTTGCCGCCGTCGCAGGCATATCAGGCGGGCGGCCCCAACGGGCGGGTCCTGCGGGCAGATCAAAGCGTGAGTCCTGCATGAATTGTGGCGAAGCCTCTGGCGAGAGCGTGCGGGTACATCTTCATTATTTGGCACGTGTAATTGGCGCGGCGCAGCCCCTAAAACAGTAAAAGAGTGGAGACGGGAACGAAGAGAGAGAGATAGAGAGAGTGAGAGATACTTGGAGGACAATGATGAAGCAGGAATGGGATTGACAGGAGGCCGGCTAAGAACAGGAAAACAAGCGGTTGAACTAGACAGGCGGGTGTCGGGCAGACCCCGGCTATCGGATCGGGCGGGCGTCACAAGTTGCGAGTCAGTTTGCGCCGTGTTTTGAACACGATATTGCAACATAAGTTAGCAATGTGTTTCGCATGGGTTGCGTCATGAGGTGTGCCATATACCATTTCTCGAGAACGAACGAGGACTACGAGAATGAAGGGCCTCTGGAACCAGGGGACCACTGAGGGCACGAGCGACTGGTGGCCACTATGGGCGCATCTATGGGCCACTGAGGGCAGCATCGGGGCCACGAAGGGCAGCGACTGGGCCACAAGGGGAGGGGCCACCAAGTGCAGCAATGAGGCACAAAGGGCGCGAGCGAGCATGGGGCACGAAGGGCATGACCCTGACGGGCGGGCCGAGCGGGCGGATCGATCGTGAGTTCTGCGCGATTAGCAAGGAAGTTTCCAGCGAGAGAGCGAATCTTAAGTAAATTTGAGGAATCCCCCAGCGAACGCGCGATTCCTGAATGGCAAGAGCGCAGCGCCTGAGTAAATTACAAAGAAGTCTCAGGCGGGAGCGCGATTCTTGAGTAACTTGTAAGGAAGTCTCAAGCGGGAGCGGGGGACCAGAGTACACTTCGAGGAAGTATCAGCGGGAACCGTTGTTGTTGTAAACAGGGGGCCATGAGCCCAGTTTGAGGAGAAGATTTGCCCTGATAAAAAAATCGGGTGCGAGCGCAGGCAGGGGCACTTCAATTGAAATATACAATGTGCACTGGAGGGAGGGTGACCAATAATATTTATTCTGCAGTAGTCAGACTTCAACAACAACAACAATCATTTTAAGACTGTTCGCTCATACTGACACGCGTGTGTTGCATTCCGTATGCCCCAACCCTCGCTACTCGCCCACTTTGTCTTCGATTGTACCCCCTTTCGGGGGGGAATCTCTTCCTTGTCGGCCACTGACTGAAGTGCGAAGAGGTCTCGAGCGAGAGCGCCGTTCCTGAGTTCGGGGGCCTATCTGGCCAGAGGTTTTCGGAACACCTATGGAGAAATATTGATCGGGAGCTCTTTTCGCAGTGTCTGGGCCTCCGCCAACTTGCTTGAAGTACGGGAAAGTCTTGAGCGAGAGCGCCGTTCCTGAAATCGGGGGCCTTCTTGGCCAGGGGCTCTCGGAGTAAATAGTGGGGAAGTATCGAGCAAGAGACTTTGTTGTCGTGGCTGGGCCTCCGCCAACATACTTGAATTGTGAGGAAGTCTCGACCGAGAGCGCCGTTCCTGAGTTCGGGTGCATCTCTGGCCAGGGTGTCTCGGGGTAAATTGCGAGGACGAATTGAGCGGGAGCCGTTGTTGTCGTAGCTGTGCCTCCAAGGGCCCGCCTACATTCAGGCTCAAGCCAACGCTCTTGCGGGAGCTTGGTTTTCAGAGAAAATCTAGCCGGCGTCGAGGCGAGAGCGCGCGGAACCGTTCCCGGAGATCACGAATAGTAAATGAGTATTCCAACAACAATAACAATAATCATTTCAAGACTGTTTGCTCCTACCTGCTCACGTGCCAACCAGTACGTATATCCCAAACCTTCGGTTCCCGCCCCCGTCGTCTTCGATCGTACCCTCTTGGGGGTACATCTTCCTTACCTGCCACGTGCATTTAGTGCAGTCCCTAAAACAAGGGAAGAGAGGACGGGCGGAGGGGGAGGGAGAATAATGGAACACGATAGAAATTAGCAGGAGGGGGCAAGGAGCAGAAAACAAGTGCTAGAACCAGACGGGCAGATCGGCTGGGCAGACCCATAGAGGGCAGGTCGGGACGGCGGGCCCAGGCGACCAGTTCGAGCAGGCGGGTTGCTGAAGCGTGGGGCCTGCGTGAATCGCAAGGAAATTTCGAGTGATAGCGCGATTCCCAAGTAAATCGTGGAAACAACCAAAGCGAAAGCGTGATTCCTGAGCGCCGAGGGCGCATCGTTTGAATAAATTGCGAGGGAGTCCCACGCGAAAGCGCGATGCTCACATGAATAGTGAGGACGTCCCGCGCGACAGCGCGATTTGGGAACACATTATGCGGAAGTATCAGGCGAAAGCCGCTGTTGTTGTAAACTGGGGGCCAGGGGCCCAGTTTGAGTCTAGTGATTTTCCGGGATGAAACAGGGTGCGAGACCCGAGGGAAACACTTCAATTGACAAAGCACAATGGCCACCAGAGGGGGGATCAACAATAAGTATTCTTCAGTAGTGAGAGTTCAACAGCAACAACAGCAGCAACAGCAACAGCACACACAGCAACAACAACAACAACAACAACAATCATTTTACCCGAACGCTCAGTGTTCTCCCCAGTGCCAGGGTTTTCATGCGACGCCAGCCAATACCCCCACTTCGTGGGGGGGCAATGCAAGCTCTACCAAACATCCACACGACTCTCGGGAACCACCCACACCCAGCTTCCCGCCCTATGACGTCAGGACACTTCACTTCGTGGCGCGCGGACGATCGTGGATACTACACTGGCGTGGAGTACACACCCGCAGAGGTTAATCACTTGTTTGGGCCCCGCATGTGCCCCGCATCGTGCATTTGTTGCGCATGATATGAGAGCAAGACAGAGAGAGAGAGAGAGCAAGACAGAGAGACAGAGAGAGAGAGAGAGAGAGAGAGAGAGCAAGACAACAACAATCCGCACCGTGGAAGCCCGCCCTTCGCCACGCACCAAGGGACCGTGAATGACGCGCGAAAGCAGACAATGCAAAGGAATGAACGTCCGAGCGATGGCGTGGTAAAAAATCGAGAGCATGGAGCAGAAATCAGAGGGTCAAGAAAATCCCGAGAGGAGAGAGGCTGTGGGTGTGGTTCATGCGCTGGTACCCTTGAATGGGTTTGGCGCTGTGAATTGTCCCTGCAGGCTCTTGCTGGGCCGCGGCCGCCACGTCCGTGCTGGAGAGTCACATTGAGGCGAACGCGTCTGTGATGAAGGGCCTGCGCAGGATCCTCGACTACTCAAACAGGCTCTCGCAACTCCCGACGCTGTCCCTGCAGACGATGGTGTCCTGCACGAAGAATCCCCGAAACTGCGGCGGCCAAGGCGGTTGCTCAGGCGCCACCGTAGAGCTGGCATACGAGATGGTCAAGGAGTACGGCGGCATCCCGCTGGCCCTGGACTGGGCTTACGAATCGGGTACCGGAAACACTCCAGATTGCAGGGAGAGCGTCTTCCAGGAGGCGGTGATTGGTATCACTGGCTACGAGGTGCTCCCGTCCAACAAGCTGCATCCGCTGATGCAGGCGCTGTTCCACACCGGGGGCGCCATAGCAGTCTCCGTGGACGCCACCCATTGGGGAATGTACGATGGGGGCATCTTCAGCGATTCGACGTGGGGAGGCGACTTCACTGTGAATCATGCGGTCACGCTGATGGCCTACAAGCGCCCGATGCGGGATGAGAGCGGCGAGCTCCAAATGGGATATTGGTTGATCAAGAACTCTTGGGGCGCAGATTGGGGCGAGAGTGGGTACATCCGCCTGGAGATGAAGGAGAACGAAGAGCACCACTGTGGCATGGACAGAGAGACTCACAAGGGCCTCGCCTGCGACGGTGACCCCGACGAGGCCCGGGTGTGCGGCACCTGCGGCATCCTATACGATTCGGTCTACCCGACCGACGTAAAATTGTTGAAGCCGGTGCCAGCATACAAAGGCTATTTTCCGAATTGATCCATTCGCGTTGCTGTGCGGTCCACCTGGCCGCGGGCAAGCGTGTTGGTGCGAGGTTTCTCGCCGTCTTTCTCTCCCCCATCCCCTTTGCCCCCATTCGCCCCAGTCCTTGCTTTAACAATTCGCTTTGTGGACTTTCCTGCGCGCCACCTCATGGATCTGTGCGCCTCTAGTTCGAGTCGAGTTTGAGTCTAGTACCATTCCAGCGCGACTCAGAATCGAACCAAGTTTGATTCAAAGGGACGGACGTTCGACGCATCATCGAAGCATCAGTGAAGCGAGTAGCCCCAGGAAGGCCCCAGAACGAGCATCCAGCCTGCGGCCCTCTCCTCACCCCGCCTCTGGCAAGCACTCTCACTCTCCTCCCTCCCCCGCCGCTAGTAACCGGGGAAGCGCTTGGCGCCGTAGCCCTGGCTGCTCTCAGCGAACGTCATCTATATTCTCGGCCATGCCCGCTCAAGGCGGGCTTCGCTCGACGCGGGCGCCACCGAGACTGAGAGCACGAGGAGATGTCGATGCTGTTGCGCGTCTTGAACAGCCCTCGTCGCCACGGCTGGATATCTGCGGTATCCTGGTCAGAGCGCGCCCCCGAAAAGGTCCAGGGAGGAGCGGTGTCGTCGCGCGGACGGCAATGGGGGACAATCGTCTCGTGGGAGGATCGACGGTTTCAGTCAGGCGATCGCAGGCATGGATCAAGGGGGCGTGGATTAGCGACTGGTCCCGCTTCCATGGGCAATCGCGGATTTCCGCCGCCGAAGTCCGGCCGCATTTTGGGGAAGGCACCACCCACGGATTTGGCGACCGCGCGCCAAGTCCATGGATCGCCAATCCATATCTGCGTGCCCCCGATTCAGGAGAGTGGCCCCAGAAGAGGCCCTGGTAAACAGCCCGTCACGGCTGCCGCGGGACGCGCGGCGAAGAGGGGGACGCGGGGCGCTCGTGTCCTCGTCCCACGTTCTGTGGCACCTCCCCGTAAGCGAACACCCGACGGTACGGGCATGGGAACGTGATCGTCTTCTCATTCATTGTTTTGCCGATCCGTGCCGGCCCCCCCCCCATTGGAGCAGATCTTGGCTGTTTTTGGTGCTGCAAACAGTGGCATCAAGCAGAGGTCCGGAGCCAGACCCCCCCCCCTTCCGCCCACTGTCGAAACGCCGAATCAGAGCACGTTCACAGGGGCATCCTTTCGGACAGGGGATGATCAGCCGGCACGCCGAGCGTGAGTTTCCGACTCCAGCGGCGACCGCTTGGGTCGCCGCCGTGTTGGCAATTTGACGGTTTGAAGCTTGACAAGCAGTCATCATCAGCACCATCCTCATCACCATCAGCATCAGCAGAATTTGCATCAGCATCGGAATCAGCATCAGCATCGCAATCTTCACCAGCATGATCAGCAGCAGCCTCAAAAACGTCATAACCATCATCACCATCACCACCAGCACTATTGTGTACACTTCGCGAATTCCCACCAGCCCATTCAAGAGCCCTGCCCACGAGAGCTGGCGGGAAAAGGGACGAAGAGACACATATAGTGAAACAGAGCGGGCAACCAGAGTGAACAAGAGAGATCTCAGGGATCAAAGGGGTGGCCTTGGAGGGCCTCTTCGGGCCATCCCCAGGGCCCACAGCTCTTTTGGGGCATCTTGGGGCCCTCTTTGGGCTCTCTGGGGGGTCCTTGGGTCCTCTTGGGGCTCAGTTGGGGCGCCTTGGGGCACTCATGGGGCCCTCTTGGGGCTCTCTTGGGGCTCTCTTGGGGCCCTCTTGGGGGCCATGGAGCGCCTCCTGAGGCCATCTTAGAGACTATCGATCAAAGGAGGGGAGGCCCTCGATTCCCCCGCCCGAGATAGCCTCTTGGGGCGCTCTTGGGACCCTCTGAAGGGGGATCTTGGGCGCCCTTGGGCCAGTCTTGAGGGCCTCTTGGGCCCTTCTTGGATCTCTCTTGGGCCATCTTAGGGCCATCCTGAGGCCTCAAAAGGGGATCGGAAGCGAAAAGGCGAGAAGGCAGACATCAGTGATTTTCCCAAGAGGTTTGAAGGATTTTGGCTTCTCGGGGAGGTCCTGAGGGGTCGCCAAAAGCACCTGGAAGCGTCTTGTGGCCCTCTTGGGGCTGCTTGGAGGCGTGTTGTTTCGGGCGTAGCCCGAATTTGTTTCTCGCGAGGTAAGCTGAACTGTAGTGAGCCCAACTGAGCTAAACTGAACTGAAAAGACTGGTCGCACCCGTTACGCGACGGTTGTATTCTCGGCCGCCGAGGGCGCAACCCATGGCGCAACAGATAGGAGACGGCTTCATTCTCGGTCGCCGAGGACGCAACCTATGGCGCAACCGGTAGGAGACGGTTTTTTCTCGGTTGTCGAGGGTGCAACTTATGGCGCAACCGATAGGAGACGGTTTTTGTCTCGGCTGCCCATGGCGCAACCTATGGAGCAAGCGATCGGAGACGGTTTCATTCTCGGCCGCCGAGGGCGCAACCTATCGCGCAACCAGTAGGGGACGGTTTTATTCTCAGCCGCCGAGGGCGCAACCCATGGCGCAACCCATAGGAGTCGGTTTTATTCTCGGCCGCCGAGGGCGCAACCTATGCCGCAACCGATAGGCAACAGTTTTATTCTCGGCCGCCCATTGCACAATCCATGTCGCAACCGATAGGAGACAGTATAATTCTCGGGCGCCGAGGGCGCAATTTGTGGCGCAACCGATAGGAGACGGTTCTATTCTCCGCCGCCGAGGGCGCACCCTATGCCGCAACCGATGGGAGACGGTTTTTGTCTCGGCCGCCGAGGGTGCAACCTATCGCGCAACCGATAGCAGACGGTTTTTGTTTCGGCCGCCGTGGGCGCATTTTCAAACGCATCGGATGAGAGACGATTTTATTCTCGGCCGTCGAGGGCGCAACCTATGGCGCTCAGATAGGAGACGGTTTTAAGCTCGGCCGCCGAGGGCACAACCTATGGCGCAACCGATGGGAGACGGTTTCAGTCTCGGCCGCCGAGGGTGCAACCTATTGCGCAACCGATAGGATATTTTTTTCCCGCTTGCCGAGGGTACAACCTATGGCGCAACCGATAGGAGATTGTTTCATTCTCGGCCGCCCAGGGCGCAACCGATAGGAGACGGTTTTATTCTTGGCCGCCGAGGGCGCAATTTGTGGCACAACCAACATGAGAGGGTTTCATTCTCGGCCGCCCATGGCGCAGACCATGGCGCAATCGATAGGGGATCGTTTTATTCTCGGCGGCCGAGGGCGCAACTTATGGCGCAACCAGTAGGAGACGGTTTCATTCTCGTCCGCAGGTGCTTGGAGAAGGAGGATGATTATGAGGAGGCAGAGGAGTAACGAAGACGAGGTCCTAGACGAGGACGACGAGGAGGAGCTGGAGCAGGAGGAAGATGAGGAAGATGAGGAGGATGCGGAGGAGGAAGACGACGACGGTCATAATGTGGAGGGTGACGGGGAGTAATATTAGTACGCGGACGAAGTGTGGGCATTCGAATACGTGCGGGGCTGCGCCCGATTTATTCTCGCCGTTCGCGGCCCAAGCGGCGAGCTGTCCTGTGATTGGCTATCTTGAGCCATGTTGGGCTATCTTGAGCGATCTTGGAGGCTACCTTTGAGGCTATCTTGGGCTTTCTGAGGCCCTCTTGGAGACATCTTGGGCGAACGAAGATCCTCTAACACCTCGCGAAAACCCTCGTCCAAGTCCAGGGGAGAGGGTAGGGGGAGGGGCAAACCCTTCCTTGATGGGGAAGGCGGGTTTTTTGAAAGTGAAACGAAAGACATCGCTAGACCACCTGCTCCCAGAGGGCTTCTGGGATTATCATCATCGTCGTCATCATCATCCGCATCAGCATGACAATACTCACACATAGTTGTCTTCGCTATCTGAATTGTCATCTTCGTCGACACCACCATCAGAACCATCATCGTCAGCAGCAGGCGCAGCATCATCATCAGTATCATCATCCTCATCCTCGTCATCTTCATTGTCATCATCATCATCATCATCATCAGCATCATCATCAGCATCGTGATCCGCATCACCATTGTAAGTATCAGCCGCACCATTATCACCATCACCGTCATAATCATTACCAGCATCCGCACTACCATCATAATTAGCATCATCACCATCGACACCACCACCATCATCATCAGCAGCATCATCGTCATCCCCTCGGCCCTGTCCTCTCTCCCCCTTTTTCTCCTGCCGCCATGTCGCTGGGCCAGAGCTCGTTCTAGGCGTTCTTGCGCAGGCCTCGAGGTTCATCGCGCTGGGATTTTGCCACAGCTGACCAGCCAGGTACCTCAGGCCGCGTGGCCAGAAACCGTTAGCCCCGCGCCCGTGGTCCTGGGCCCGCGTGCTCAAGTTTTGGGCTGCAATTCCGAAGACAGATGTTCATGTGAATTTTGGAGAGGGTGTTCTTGGATGTTCTGTGGTTGCTCGGCTGACGGAGGGTCTCATGTTATTTGGGGATGCTGTCCGGTCCTAGGTCCGACTGTACACGGTGTTCAGGGCGTCTTTCCTGTCATCCCTGTCCTCTCCCGTCCGCTCCCTCCTGACATTCATCTATACCCAAGGCTGTCCCGTCCCCCCCTTCTATTCGGTCCTTGCGCCTCCCCGCCCGCCCTCCTCCCCCCCCTCCCCTGCCCCCCCTTCCCCATCGATCCCACTCCCCCCGCCCACTCCTTCCTCCCCAACCCTCGGTCCTCCGACAATTCTTTCCCTCTTCCCCCGCCCGTCCCTCCCTTCGCCCACCGCTCTGTCCCAGATGCGTATTGACGCCCACGCGTCCGCGTGAATTTTTGGACTCGGAGGAGCGTGGCGTTCCTGTGCGGCCCGCCTCCCGCCTCCCTCCCCTCCCGTTGACCCCCGCTCTGCCCCGCTTGCTCCTCATCGTCCACGCATGCATTCTGAACTCGGAGGAGCTTGGCGTTCCTGTGCAGCCCCGCCTTCCCCCCCGTTCCATCCCGTTGCCCTCCGGTCTGCCCTGGTTGCACCTC